TGCACACACTGGCAATGGGAGGCGCTGGGGGAGGCTGAACGGAGTCCCTGGGGACCGCGGGGGAGGGAGGTTCCTTGTCCGACTGCCCCATCGGGCAGCGTGTTGGGGATTCAACCAGAGCCCTCCGGAGCTAAAAGCCTGGGCTGCTACTGCTGGAGCCACAGCTCTCTGGCTGGGGCTCCCAGGGTCTGTCTAGGGGGCAACTCAAAATCTGCAGCCGGGCTGTGCCAGCTGATATGGCTCAGCCTAGGGGCAATTTAATTGCGGTGCAGACATTTGGGCTTCTGCTGGAGCCTGGACTTTCGGACCCTGCTCTGTGTAGCTCAAGAACAAATAAGTTTGGTGCAGTAAGAGATATTATCTCCCCCACCTTGTGTCTCTAATATCCTGGGACTAACACCGCTACAACAGTGTAACCCTAATTTCCGCCCAAGACAGCGGGCATGGCCAGGGAGGGAGCGACTGGGGAGTGAACCAACCCTGTACACACCTTAGAATGCCGCTCCAGGAAAACTCTGTCCATTAATTTTTTTTTCACTGCGACAAACCTGCAACCATAGTAATGGTACAAACTTTCAAGCCTCCCTGGGCCCTCCAAGTTGCGTGGACCACTGTACATCTGCATCACCTGCAACAGCTGTTCCTGTACCAGTGTGTAAACTTTGCCATGCTGAGTTGGGTTGTTTGTCCTTTCAGATGTCGGTGACGTTTGAGGATGTGGCCATGTATTTCTCCTCAGCAGAATGGGCGCTGCTGGGCGAGGAGCAAAAGCAACTTTACAGACACGTCATGTGGGAAAATTACCAGACTCTGGTCTCATTAGGTGAGGAGCTGTGTCTGTGAGATCAGGGCCCCTGTCCATTGGGTGCTGCACAGAGACACAGTAACTGAGATCAGAGGGGTAGCCGTGTTAGTCTGAATCTGTAAAAAGCAACAGAGGGTCCTGTGGCACCTTTAAGACTAACAGAAGTATTGGGAGCATAAGCTTCTATGGGTAAGAACCTACACTTCTTACCT